GGCGTTTGCCTATATTTCCTTCAATAAATTTGACTTGACTTGACTTGACAGAGATATTGGGCTAAACTGCTTCGGTCGCAGTTATTCTTTTACAGACTGCAACTTTTACATATGGGGCGCACCATGAAGATGCATTACCTAACTCTCGCAGCTCCATATGGGAATAAAATGGACGCAGGCAAATACCCCACAGTTGCTGTGTCACGGCTTGCGTTCTAAGCGATACCCCTCCACGATATTCATGAGGGAGGGCAGAACGTTCTCTGAGAGAGCTTGTTTAGAGGTCTGACCTTTCCGGTGGTTGTACTTGTTCAGGTTAATGAAATTAAATCCCGCGTACTTTGATGAGTAGGAACGAGTGCCAGTTCGACTCTTCTCGTAAAACAGTATACAGCTGATAAAGTAAGGCATAACAATGCGGTTTATCAATTCACTGAATAACGAGAGGAGAAGAGCAATGTGAGAAAAGGAGCTTACTTTTGTGAACAAGATTGATATGCGACTTCTGGTGTGCCATCCGCGCAAAGTTTCTGCCACAAATGTCGCACGCGAAGGGACGCAGCGCTGAAATAAAAGCAAAATAAGACATTGGTTGGTTAAAACCGTCGAATATGGACCAGAATACAGGCTAAAGTCTAGTGAGAAACTGGGGCCAACTGCGCGTAGGCAATAGACAAAGATCAGTACGCCTCAGGTTTCTGTGCGATATTTTAGCCTATCGTGTCCGTTGTTAGATCGCAGATGTGTTGTTCTGTGTGTACTTACAGGATAAAAATTTATGGATGTCGAAACCGCGGCCAAGACTGGACTTCCGTATCAAACATATAGAGTTGGGAAGCAACACGTGCAAAAATTGGCGTCGGACACGTCAGCCATCGCGCCAGCGTCCACTTTAAATTTCACCGACGTGGATAAAACGGTGATTTAAGTGCTATGCATGTCATCCAGACCATAAACCAATTCACTCACAGGCTACCACTGCCCCCTGCCACAGGAATGGCCCCCGTGGCTTGCTTTGGCTGTGGAGCTGATCTTCGGTATGCAGTGACATGAATCGGCGTCCATGCACGAAGGATTATGCTCTTTCTAAAGCTGATGTCAAACAAGGGATATATCAAAAAAGGAATAGCCTGTGAAACATAACCTTGTGCACTAAAAATGTACGAGGAATGGTGTCGGACACCAAGCGCAGACAAATGTCCTACGAGCGAAAGTGGTTATGGCAAATAAACACTGAGACAAAAGAAACTAAAAGTGGCAGTCGAAACGATATTCAAAGCAAACTCATTGCAAAATTATAAGGACGAGCCCCTGGGAAGAAGTAACGAACCTTTGTGGACAGACTTAACGTGCGCATTCATGTTGGAGGTATTTGAAAATGCTTTGCCACAAATCTCACATTCATTAGATTGCGGCTCTAAAACAAGAAAATAAATAAGACAAATTAACAAAAGTAGATGACTTCTGCCTCTGGGATTACCTAGCAATATCACGTTTTGTTTAAAAGGTAGATGCCCTATGGAAGGACCTAGGGACAGACTCCTTTTGTCAGAGCGGTTTGGGTGGGGTGACTGTCGGACAGATTAGATGTTCAAGGACTAAATCAAAAGAGACCGGGTGCACCACGCAGTAGCGTCAAAACAAGTACAAATCTGTCGCACTGACGGATGTGAAAAATTTGCTTGGCGCCATCTTAGTATGTATGTTGGCACCGAAGACGGGTAAGAAGGCGTTTTTTCGATAACTGGCACCTAACTCTCACATTCAAACAGTCATTTCTAGCTTCCTGAAAAAAGGCTCTCATCACCTCATTAACCGGGGCAAACCAGATCAGAGAAGACGGTTATCGTACACCCAGTATTTCGGTGCAACTTCCAACACCTCCGTCTTCCTTGGCTTCGGTAATCCAAACCGACATCGTAGAGCAGTTGCTCGGACTGTCTCGAGGCATATACGGCCATCTCATAACCCTGTCTCCTCGCGGTGCCGAATCACCCAGAGTTGTAAACGACTTCGCTCCTTCAATGATGAATAGAGAAATAATTTCCACGAACACTTGTGCGCAATCCTGGCGACTGTACCGAAGGCAGTTAATTTAGTTGTCATTGGTAGCATCAATGCGAGACGAAGAAAACATACTAGCAAGAAACGTGATCAACGATCACGATGTCTGGGTGGATTATCACCTTGTGAGCTCCAATATGTCATACGAACGAAATCAGACATGACAAATAAACTGAAAAATTACAAGGACAAGATCTTTGGAAGAACGAACGCACCTTTGTGGACAGTTTGAATGTGCGCATTCATGTTGCCGGTCCTCGAAAAGACTTTGCCACAGATCTCACATTCATTAGACGGCGGTTCTAAAACAAGAGAACAACGAGGATCAAATAACAAAGGAGCATGATTTCTGCCTTTGGGATTATCTAGCATTTTCACTTAGGAGCATGTGTGATGGCTGTGATAAATTGTTCA